GATCGTTTGGATTGTGATCTCCACTTTCTTGTTTTAGGTTCGGTTCTCTTGATCTGGCCAGATTGTGTTTGGACTTAATTATTCAATAATTTCTACCTATTTTTCTTTCCACCGTTTTTTTCCAAATAAATATGCTGTTATTGATTAGTATATGTGTAGAAAATTCGTAAATAGGACAAGTAAACCTTATACCACTAGAAAGAAGAAAAAAAACATTATTGTGAACAGACAAGCAGGTCATGGAATAAAAATTACTTTATCATGCAATTTACTTAATTATTATATATGACAAGATAACCATATCATCTCTATCTTTACAAAGTCTTCTCCGAATCTGAGGTAGTCACTAAGGCCATTGTTGACGCACGTCTTTGGCAGAGTGCTCAATATGCTTCCTCAAAACGTGCACCCCTGAACTCTTCCCCAACGGTGGTGGAACCGAGAGTCTCGGACCATACTCTCTATGTTGATGGAGCCTGGAACCCAGGGGCGGCTCAAAAAAGGCCAAAAAATTTTTTGGGTCCTGTGCAAAGATTTGAACTTTTTTCTAAAAATGGTCTATATTTGCTAAAATCTAAAATTTTGGACCTTTTTATATATAATTTTAATAATTTTTGGGTCCTAAATTACAATAAAAATTAACTAAAAAAATGGACCCTGTGTGGTTGCACACCCTCAAAACCTTCCCTACTGGAACCCCATGTCTATGAACTGCGGAATGGGATGGTCCCTTCTCTCACACAAGGATGGCTCTGTTTTCCAATCTTCGGCGGCTAAACCCTCTGTTTCATTGGCTCTAGTTGCTGAAGCTTGGGCAATGAAAGCAGGATTTATCATTGCTCTGGAGATGGGATGCGTTGATGTAACAGTGAGATCAGATTCTCACTCTCTTGTGATGCTTCTTAACTCTTTTGTCTTCTTTTTCCTCGATTTTTTTCGAATTTGTACCCCGCACGGACAATATGATTGCCGATGCTCTAGCTAAACAAGCACTATCGAATCTTGACACCGATGTAACACCAAGCTTATTTGAATGAAATATTCAGTGTTGTGAAAAAAAAAGCTAGAGAAACATAGGCTTAATTGGTTTCATTTACATCACCTACGTCGTTTTATGATTTATGATTAACAATTATAGGGAGGAAAAAAATTAACAAAAATAACTAAACACTGAAAATGAATTTGCATTTCAAATCGGCTATGCATGAAAATCGTGACCGTGGTTAAGATGATTGTAGCTTAAGCAATTTCACGAGCAAACATCTATACTAAATCATAGTTGGAAATTCTATTAATTATCTAGTTTCAATTTTTGAGACTTTATTGTGTAACCCATTTCCAAAAACTAGATGATTTCCGTTATCGTTGCAACTGTATCATCAATAAAAACACATTATTTTGTTTATTAAAATTAAAAAACAAAAACCATTCAGTGATAGTTT